AAAAGGAAACGTAAACCTGGTGGGTCTCTGCAGCGACCGCCAAGGTGCCCCCTACGCCGGGCACCTCCCGAGCGGGTGACAGCTGCCCGCCGCCGCGGAGACTTCATCCCCGGTGCAAAAAGCACCTCCGGCACCTGCGGAGCGCGGCAGCGGCTCCGGACACGCAGCTCCCGGCTGGCAGCGCCGCCGCCGCCCGGCTCGGGGAGCGGACGGGCCGTGCGGACGGCGCTGCCCGGGCCCGCCGCCCGCAGCACCGGGGCAGCCGCGGGGCCGCGCCGAGGCCGCGCCGGCGGCGGGCAGCGCCCCGAGGCCGAGGGTCGCGGCGACCCGCGGGGCGGGCGGGCGAAGCGGGGCACGGAGGGGAGCGGAGCGAGCGGCCCCCCCGGCAGGGCAGGGCCGGGCCGGCGCGGGGCCCGCAGCTCGCCCCGACCCCCGCAGCTCCCCGTGCCTACCTCGGCCATTTCCCCTCGTCCCTGCTGCTCCCGGCGGGAGCGCTCCAGGCTGCGGGCAGCTCCCCCCGCTCCGCCGCGCTGCGCTCACTTCCGCCCGGCCGCGCGGGGCGGGGCGGGCCGGGGCGGGCACTGCGCCGGGCCCGGCCCCGGCGCCGCCTCACCTGAGCCCGCCCGGGCCGCCGCCCCCGGCTGCGCACGGAGCCCGTCCCGCCGGGGCGGCCGTGGGGGGGCCGCGGGGCTGGGGCGACTCGCCGTCATTTCCTCCCCTTATCGCCCGATCTTCCCAAGAATGCTCGGCATGACTGGGAGCTTGCCCGGCGCGCCAGAAACGTCCGTCGGGGGGGCCGGAGCCGCGCGGCGGACACAATGGACTTCCTCCGCCCGGCAGCGGGGGAAGGGCCGGGAGCGGCGGGGACGGGGCATGGGCAGCACCGGCGCTTGCCGGCGACCCCGGGGCTTTGGAACAACAGGTTCCACTGCACAGAGTTGTGCTTAACTAACTTCAGAAACTCCTTGGCCGGCAAGGGCAGATTCCTGTTGTCAACTCCAACCTTCCTGACATACCAAGACGTTTCAGAACGACCAAATATTTTGGTTTGGCCTTCACAATAGCTTCAAAAGAACGAAATGCTTTGGGTATGCCCTAAAGTATTAAGTGTGCGATTTCATGCAAAGTTTAGACAATAGGCCTTTCATAACATCGCATTAAAAGCTGTCATGGACATTTAAACGTAGCAGTATTATTTTTAATGTAGATGTAAAAGAATTCCAGACAGAATAACTATATTCCATCCACTGAGGGATTACTTAAAATAAGCAAAATATCCCGTTTATGCCTATTGGTACTTTATTCTGCGCTTTTAGCACACTGATATTCTGAAAAATACAAAACACTTAATGAAGCACAGAAGACATGAAAAGAAGACACATCTGTTTAGAAGCTACAATATAAATGAATTATCAAAAATTAGTCGGGAATACATTGATGGCAGTCACATTTTTACTGTAGATATATATAACCATCAATTTAGCATCTAAGCATTTTCTACCGGATAGATCTTGACACCATTAAGGTCAATGAAAGCCTTTTCAGGTGATTTCAACATGAGCAAGATGGGAACTTGTAAGACTGACACAAAATGTGTTCCTGGAGAATCATCACAGACATGACTGTAATTACATAGATTTAAAAAAATTACCAGTGTTCTTACTACCCTTGTGATCTAAGCCATCAGGAATTTATCAGGCTGACAGTTATTAGGAGTAGAAATCAATCCTTTCAATGCCATTTCAGTTTTGACAATCAATAAGCAAATTCTGCTCCAATTTTGAACACAGAGTGGGGCATCGGTAGAAGAAATCTACTCAAAAAAAGAAAGCTTCAGGCTCCTTTCTAGACAGCCTGTCCAAATACACCTGATTTTTAGATTGCATTTTAGACTTTTTGTCCTGGCAGTCGTGTCTCCTGGCCACCTCCTCTGCTGGGCTCCTGTGGTGATCCTGGCCAAGGAGAGCTCTGTACTTGGAGCAATTAGTGACCCACATAAATGATGCTTTACAGAGGCACGGCGGCTTTCTGCCTGGATCCTGCTGCAAACCAGTTCCTTGGTGTTTGTGCTGCTTTCCCCTTCACCTACACGTCATGCAAACTGCTCCCAATTGCACCTATGACTCACTGGCCACAGGGTTTAGTCCTGGGATAACCATTTGTCGATGTTTCATCCATTGCTAAGTAAAGGAACATTAACCTGCTCAGTCCGAACAAAAGGCAGTTGCCACACCCAACAGTTTCAACAAGATCATGTTGGAATGAGATATCTTTAAGGTCCCTTCCAACCCAAGCTATCATGTTATTACATAATATGTGACAGTAGGTCAAATATGAAACTTACTAGTTGAGATAGGAAAGATGATTTGGTTTATTCTGTGGATTAGTGAAGATTTTTAGACCATTATTAAGCCTGCCTATCAGTGTCACTATAACTATAAGAACTGTCTATGCCTTTACTTGGAAATTATTTCCTTCATGTAAAAAAAGAATTCTTGCTATTCCACATTTTTAAAAAATTAAGCCCATCCTTTTTAGCACTATCTCATTTTTGAAAGGTATTCTGAATTTATTTCAAGTTAAATAGGCACTGATTTCAAATTATTATCACACGGGATATAAACTGAGTGTGCTATTCCTTCCTTTGCTTTCCCAGAGTCACAGAATCATTACAGTTGGAAAATACTTCCAAGATCACTGAGCTCAACCTTTGACTGAACACTGTGCTGTCAAATAGACCATGGCACTCAGTGCCATACCCAGTCATTTCTTTAACACCTCCAGGGATGGTGATTCCACCACCTCCCTGGGCACTCTGTTCCAGTGCTTGACAACACTTTCAGTGAAGAAATTATTCCTGATATCCAGCCTGAACCTCTCCTGGCACAACTCCAGACCATTTCCTCTCATCCTGTTGCTGAGAAAAGAGGGCCACCCTCACCTGGATATTACCTCCTTTCAGCATTGTAGAGAGCAATGAGGCCTCCCCTGAGCCTCCTTTTCTCCAGGTTAAACAACCCCACTCCCTCAGCTGTTCCTCATACCCTTCACCAACATTGTTACCCTTCTCTAGACTAGCTGCAGCACTTCAATATCTTTCCTGAATTGAGGGGCTCAGTACACAGGATTCGAGGTGCCATTTCACCCATGTGGGCTCCAGGGGGACAGTCACTGCCCTAGTCCTGCTGGCCACACTGTTTGTGATACAGGCCAGCATTTCCACTGAAGAGCAACTCCAACACAAGCACTTTTGCCTCTGCTTTCATTGTTTCTCAGCTACATCCACATTACCCAAGTACCAATTATCAGGTGCACTCTGGAAGTGGTACCAGCCAGTTTTAGAAACACCATTTGTATGTCACAGCAGTTCTTCTACAAGAAAGACAACTGGTTGTTAAAATTACACTATTCCCTAGAGAGCTGAGTCAAGAAGAGAACAATGGCATAGCCTGCAGACCTGCTTAGGAATGGAGGATTACAAGTTAGCCATTCCCACATGCAGAAATGATGCCAGCTTTAAAGTATCTCTCATACAGGAAGTTACTAATGTGCCCATGTAAAAGCACTGCACAAGGTGTGTGTCTCACAGCCTCACTGTCTTGTTCCTGTGTGTCTTTGTGATACACATATCAAATGCCACAGTTGCCCTGATGGTTTTCAGGAGATAAAACTATGATAAAAATAATGATATTTTCACTTGATAAAACTATGTCTTGTAAAAAACACTACAATTTATTAAATAACATTTTAATGACAATTTAAATTGCATACCACAGACAGAATAAATGAGAGAATTCAGTCAAATATTTGGAGAGAGTAAGTGCTGTGCTTGCTATGCTGATAGTCAAACATTCCAAAAGAACTGACACACAGCATATGCAAAGACCAAATCAGTTTGAGCAACTAACAATATTGACACTGGTACTAACTGGAAATATGACAAGCTGTCACTGGTAGATGCTTTTCTAAACAATATCTTGGATACAAGGAAGTCTGAAATATACCTAGATCAAAAGGACGCCTACACATAACAAAGCTTAACAAATGTGTTGTGGTGACTACAACACATGGGAAGTAAAAAACAAAACAAAACCAAAACACACAAAACCCAAAAAACCAAACACCCCTATCAAAAAAAAAAAAACCTAAAAACACCCACAAAAACAGAACACAAAAAAACACAAAAAACCCAACAAATTAAAAACAATCACTTTAAAGCCAAAATTTCCTTGATTTTCTTCTCAGCATAAAATGAATTTATGTGCCCCCCAAATTTAACAGGTTTTGAGCTACTGGAACTGCTGCTTGCCTTTAACTAACTGGAAGGAATAAACTTGATGTCTTGATGTCTATTGTTAGAGTATTCTTTCTGTAAATGACAAATTGTTAGTAGGAGTACAGGGATTATTAAAGGACAAATGCGCTTCCTGTGACAATAGGAAGACAGAGCATATCCTACCAAGGACAAAGACCTCTTCAGAGAATCCATGCCATGTACCAGAACGTGGTAAAAACCCCACACCCATAAAAACCCCGCACCCACTTTGTGCAGCGTGGAAATTCCCAGGATTTTGTTCACTGGGGTGTGGTCTGCAACACAAATTTTGGATTTGAAAGGAGACCAACTCAGACTATTCAGGAAAAGAAAATCATGCAACTCCATCTACAACTCCAGTATGAAGCTGCTCTTAGCATAGCAGCTAGATTCAGTGATGTTTGAATTAAAGACAAAGCAGCTTTTATCTTGTTATATTTATATTTATCTTCTTACATTTTCTTAAAGAAATAATGTTAAATATACTGAGAAACTAAGCCTAAACAGATTAAACACTAAAAGATCTACCAATCCTTAGCTAATCAAGACACTGACAGCCTCAAGGTGACCTCATATATTTAAAGTCAACAAGTTTTGAGAGCTAATTTTGGAACAACTGGTAATTTGTAGCAAAATTGTAGCCGGGGGTTTTTAAGTATCTATAAATTTTTTTTTTTTTTTTTTTCCTCTGAAGACCAGCAGAGGGAGACAGGTTCTATTTTACTCTGCAAGAAAACAGAAGATAGTATTACTTCAAAAATAACACCTTCTGAAAATTCACTATCATTTCCTAGTTTAGGCTTGCAATGCCTTTTTTTGGTCATTTTGAACTCTATTATTAATATTCACTTTTCTTTCTTTTTAGTGCTTATCCAAACATAAAAAGCTATTGCTTACATCTGAAGATGTTTGGTCAACAGCATTTTCCTTTTTAATACTTCCCTATGGATTTCTCTCAGGGAGAAAGGGTATATCAGTATTTGTAATGACTGAAAGAAAAAATAGGCTGTGGTTTTGTTTTTGTTGTTTCACTCTCATGCAACAGCTTGCATGTGTTTGTAGCACGTCTGAAGTCTGGCATATGGATCTCAAAATCTAAATAATTTCAGCTGGCTTTACATATGAGTTACATATTTAAGGACTAAATAGAAGAAGAAAGTTCTGTTCTAAAGTAAAAACCACAAAAACAACTCCTGGTGGTTTCAAGTGCAAGTGAAATGTTCTCTTGGGCTAATTTCTTAGGACCCAGGGCTCACTTCAGGAAATGGGAATTAAGGTATTACAAGCCAAAATATTCCTACAGATCTTGGCACAGAAGCTTAGGTATGTCTCATATGGTTTAGGCAGTATTCTCTACAAAATGGCATAACAGGACATACATTTGAAATTAATAAAATATTTTTCATATTTACCCATAATGTTGCAGATAAGTTATGTCCAGAAGCACTACTTGAACATGGACCTGAACAGAAATAATTTTACACGTCACTACTTGTTCCACTGTAAATAGTTTGTGATAGTCTATTTTTTTTTATAAACTCACTTCTGCAGATGGTTGATTTACTCAGAAAAGAAACTGTAAGAAATGCTTTTTGGATAGAATGTGTTCTAAGCAATATGCATGACTGCTATAATTTTAAATAAATCTTAAATAAAATTAAATTTCTGAATATTCCTAAAATAGAGTGAAAACAGAAGAGTTAGAAGATGCATGCAGAAAGTGTGTCAGTGCTGCAGTGTATTCAGGAGGTACTATGGGATAGTTTTTAGTCTGCAGTGTGCTGTGCTAAGGGCTACTACTGTAGGAAAGGTGCCAGAAAAGCCTGTGGGCAACAGGATGCGTGCCTGGAAATAGCAATCATTCCTGGGGCAACGATAATTGAGGTAATTGGGAAGCCTGCTAGTATTTAAAATCCCAATCACAACCAGTCATGCTTAATCAGACATCCAAAGGCAGGGGATGATAAAACTGCATATTGAGTACTCACTTGAATTATCCCATATCAAGAAGTTCAGAAAACCAACCAGCTCTACCAGTAGGAGTCCAACACAGGAGAAAAATTCCCAAAGGCTAAGAAAGGGATTCTAAGGTCTTCTCCCAGATGCCCATGTTCGTGTAGCTCCATGGAAGATCAAAGCCCTTCCCAGCAAAATCTGGTTTTTCCTTTCTGGTACAAGCTAATTGTAATTAAGCTTCTTCTAGCTACCTTATGTTCTTCAGTAAAAAAAACTTCACAGTTCTTTAAGCATTGCAAGCCCGTGGAAATATGCTACTATTAAAAAGGTATTGAACAGTTACTTATGTCATGCTTTTACTTGTAGTCACACACTGTATATGGTAAAATGAAATTATCCTGTCAATTACATTCAGCTGAGGTGTTTTCATATCCCTGTCCAAGTCTATATGCCATGGCTTTGACTCTTAATCCTTGTATTTTGGTATACAATTTTTTTGTAGTTTTCCTAGGGGAAGTTAAGTACACAATGTGTTCCCTGGATGACATTTGTTAAACCAGTTTTCAGGTTAAGGGTCAATGATCCAAATTCTGGAAGCAGCAAAATTATTTTTAAATGCCTTAAATCCTTGCCAATATTCTCTAGTTGGTAAATAGGCATCTTAGGATGATAGTTATGTAACAGTAGAGCACTGGCACATTATTCAAAGGGATTTATTGCTTTCCTTTGCTGCTTGCATTCATGAGTAGAAAGACACTCATGCTTGAGGGACTAAACTGGAGAGAGCTTTAATGAAAATTATCTCAGAGTTTGGTGAAAAACTTTTCAGATAGGATTGCTGTGGTCAGCCCCAGAAAAAGGAACCAAATAAGATTAGAGGCCAACAACTTTTAATACGTGTCACAACTCACTGAACAGCTTACCACAGAGTTTGTGTGCGTGGGAGGGAAAAAAAGCAGCGTGTGGTCATGTGTGCACAGCTCACTGAGAAACTTCATGGGGGGAGGAGAGCTGATGGACTTACCACAGAGTTCTGGCCTTGTTACAAGCCCCATCTTTGTGGATACACCATCCAACAGAACAACTCCACCAAACATAGCAGGAACTCTGTCTGCATTGAGTTGGTACACCCAAGTGTGGGTGTGCAGAGCACACTGGGAATGTCCCTTCTGATCTTCTAGGGTGCCAGAGAAATCACCTGTCAGATCACCTTCTTGGGCCCCATAGTCATCCTCCTGCAATGTAGCAGTGACACATCAGGCTGTGGAGAAATACAGCCCTTGTCTTAAGAATACAGGCAGTAATGAAGCATTCGGCAATATTAATATTAAAAAGATTACTTATTTTCCAAACATAAATGCAGTGTTAAGCCTTAAATAGTAATGGCCCTTTGCTTGAGATATTTGCTGAAGAGTTGCTGAAGGATGTGGAAGGATACGGATAATGGAATGACACCACAGTATTGGCTAATTCTGCCTATGATACTATACCTTCAAACTAAAACCTTCAAGCTGAAAGAGAGTAGGTTTAGATCAGGTACTAGGAAAAAGTTCTTTACTGTGAGGGTGGTGAGGCACTGGCAGAGGCTGCCCAGAGAAGCTGTGGATGCCCCATCCCTGGAAATATTTAAGGCCAGGTGGGATAGAGCTTTGAGCTGCCTGGTCTGATGGAAAGTGTCTCGGCTCACTGAAGGAGGTTGGAGTTAGATGATCTTTAAGATCCATTCCAACCCAAACCATTCTATGATTCTATGGTACCTAGTGTGACACAGTGAAGCAAGTATTCAAGATTATGTGTGTGTGTGCTGAAAGTATAGAGTGGTCTAACAACTCTTAGAAACCTCTAAATCAAATCAGTTTTATCTACCTTGTTTTAACTAAATCCCAGGCCTTTTAGAAAAAAAAAAAAAAAAATTGTGTATATGTCACCTACAAATGTTACTTCTACTAGAATATTGCATAGTGTTTTGGGAGAGCAGAAATTCATTATCCAAGTCAGGAATCACATCATCAAGCATGATCTTGGTTTTGTGTTTAAATCAATGGAAGTTGTGCTCTTTTTGTTTTTTTTTCTTCACTGAAAGAATAGCATAAAAAGAACAAAACTATCTTTGCTTTATTCCACAAAAAACAGTGGATGGATCCACTTGCAGTATTCTGGCATCCCCAAAGAAACCTGTCTGAATAGTTAACCCATGGAAGGTACATATTAAAATACCACACTAATGAAAAGTTACATCTTCCAGCTATTCATTCTCTATTAGCAAGGGCATCCTGTCCTCCATCATTAAAAACAAGTCCAACTCCTGGTCATTAGGTTATGATACAAAATGCCCACCTCCCATGTAATATTTAAAACCTTTGAAAATCCATAAGGTTTAAGCCAGAAAAGCCAGAATTTTTCTAAAACCTGGTAGCGTTTGTGAGATTTAAAACCTGAATATAGATTAACTACATTTTCCTGAAGTAGCAGAGAATACACTGATCACCCCTCACCTCTCTCTTAGGTTGAGAGATAATTTAACAGCTTATTCTAAGGACAGACAGAAGTATACTTTTTTCAACTCTGAAAATATATGAAACATTCCTAGCCTCTTAGAGAATTCCCTGGATATGTTTGAGGATGCACACAGCTTTCACTAAAGGGGGAAAGTACAGATTGGAAACAGATGGGGCTCTTTTTTTTTTTTTTTTTAAAATAAATTGATTGCTACCACAAATCCTACAATTTAGAACAATCAGGCTAAAAATCCTATTCTCAATTATACCACTTCTACATCCTTATTTTTTAATAATATCACAGTTTCATGAGTTCTGCAGCCACTGCACAGTTTTCTGAGGAAATGGACAGAAAGCCTGACAGCTGTAGAGGGCTTACACTGAAAGCATTTAAAGAATCCTTCTTTAATCTGATTTTGGTGGAAATTAAGCTTTACTCATGTTCTATTTGCACTGAAATTAACAGGATTGATCTCAAGGATGACTAAAACATCCCTGGGAACTTGGAATCTGAGGGAAAGGAAAGGAAAGGAAAGGAAAGGAAAGGAAAGGAAAGGAAAGGAAAGGAAAGGAAAGGAAAGGAAAGGAAAGGAAAGGAAAGGAAAG